CTTTTCTTTTCCACTTAGATATCCTTTTAACATTTCTTGCAAGACTGGCTTGGTGGTGGTGAAGTCCTTTGATTTTTGTTTGTCTGAGAAACTCTTTATCTCTCTTTTAATTCTGAATGATAACCTTGCTGTGCAGAGTATTCTTGGTTGTAGGATATTTTCTCCTTTCAGCACTTTGAATATATCATGCCACTCCCTAAAGGCCTACAAAGTTTCTGCTGAAGAATTAGCTGATAGCTTTATGGAGTTTTCCTTGTATGCAACTATTTGCTTTTCTCTTACTGCTTTTAAGACTCTCTCTTCATCTTTAATTTTTGACATTATAATTATTATTATCTTGGTGTGGACCACCTTGGGTTCATCTTGTTTGAGGCTCTCTGTGTTTCCTGGACCTAGATATCTGTTTTATTCCCTACAGTAGGGAAGTTTTCAGCTATTATTTCTTTTAAAAAGTTTTCTGCCCCTTTCCCTCTCTTTCCTTCTAGGACCCCTATAATGTAAATGTTAGTATGCTCTGTGTTGTCCCAAAGATCCCTTAGCCTATCCTCAATTTTATTTATTTTTGTTGTTGTTGCTCAACTTGGGTGCTTTCCACTACCTGTCTTCCAGATCACTGACCCATTTCCCTGCACTCACTAAATTGCTGTTGATTCCCTCTAGTGCATTTTTCACTTCAGCCATTGTATTCTTCAACTTTGATTGGCTCTTTCTTATATTTTCTATCTCTTTTTTGATGTTCTCACTGAGTTCATGCACTCTTCTCTCAAATCTCGTAAGCATCTTTATGGCCTTGACCTCTTTATCTTACAGATTGTTTATTTCCATTTCAATTAGTTCTTCATGGAGGTTTTGTCTTGTTCTTTCATTTGGGACATATTAAAATATTCCTCTGTCTCCTCATTTTGTTTGACTTTCTGTGTTTCTTTTATGAATTAGGCTGAACAGCTACCTCTTCCAGTTTGAAAGAGTGCCCCTGTGTAGGTTATGTGTGCCTCATGGTTTTTGCTGCCCAGCTGCAGCTGGAATGGGTACAGGCCAGGATCCTGGGGCACTCAACACCAAGGTCACCCTCAAAGGACAGGTGGAGCTGAATCAGGGGTGGGCCAGGGGTTCTGAGGCACTCTGCACTGGGGTCACCTTAGTGGGATGATGAGCTGGAGTGGGCAGTTTGGGGGTGGGGCAGCATGTCCCACAGGGCTCTGCACCAGGGCCACCCTGGCAGGATGACTAGAGCTGGAGTTGCCACAGTTGGGGAGGGGTAAGGCAGGGGGCATCCAGGGTACACTGCACAGGGGCTGTCCCAGTAGGATGGCTGAAGCTGGAGTGGGACTCAGTCAGGAGTGTCCCTGAGTACCTCACCCCTGGGCCACTTTGTCAAGATGACTGGAGCTGTAGTAGGTACAGACTGGGGGTGTTCTGGTGTGTACCATGCTGTGGCTGCCTTGCTGGGATGGTCGGACCAGGTATGGGATAGGGGCCTGGGCCATCATGGTGGCCCCAGCAAGCCAGCTAGAGCGCCAGGACCCTGCTCTCATATATACTATCAAGGTGGAAGGGAAGCATAAACAATGGCACTCAGCAGTGCCTCCAAATCTAGAGATTTTAGCAGTTATCCCACCATTTGGCAGATGCTCTAGTGTGAGTAATGGATTTCTTTCACTTCTACTTTAGTTGCTCTTGAAAGTGCTGGTGTTTGCTCTACCCCATGTGGTCGACTCTGTGCACGGTCCCCTCACTGATATCCCTTCCTACTGCGGATTAGCATTGGTGGAGGGGTGCCTGTCATTTCTGTGTCTCTGCCTCTCCTACCCTTCTCTATGTGGTCCCTCTATCTTTTTGTTGCACAGAAGCTGTTCAATTGGCCCTTGGTTCTTCTTCAGGAGGAATTGCTGTATATGTAGGTATTCAGTGTGTCTGTGGAAAGAGGTAAGTTCAGGGTCTTCCTACTCCACCATATCGGACCACCTCCACATCAATACTTCTTAAATCAGAATGTCCTGAGCTCACGTTCACATAGTCAGAAGCTAAACAGACATGTTTAATCAAATGTTCCAAAATTACCTTGAGTACAACATGCCCAAATCAGAACTTACTATCTTTCTCTTTAAAATCTGCCTTTTCTTTTGCATACAAACTTTCAGATAATGTCACTTCTATCCACTCAGTCACTGGCCCTTGAGCAGTCTTGATTTTACCTAACCTCTGCTACATCCAAATTGATCAACATGTCTTGCCAGTTCTGTCTCCCACTACGCTCTCTTTCATCTCCTACCCTCTATTCCCAGTGCCTCCATCTTTGTTCAATCCTCATGGTCTCTTACACAGCCTCTCGGCTGCTCTTTCTTCCATCCAAGTTTCCTGCCTTAGCCAACCCCCATCTCTTTCCATATGGACACTAGCTATTTGCAAAAATGGAAATCTCAGTGGGCCATCCCAGTCTACAAATGATAAGATGCAGGCCAACATTTTGTGCATGACTAACTTGCTGACTCCTGCCCCCTTTACTAGGCTCATCTCCAGCAATTTTCCACAAGCACATTCTGCTCTAACTACAAAAAAAAAAAAAATCTATTCTTCAAATAACCATATTATTTCATGGCTAGATGTTTTTGCATATGCAGTCTCTTCTCCCAGAAATGTCCTTTCTTCTCACTTTCTGATGTTTTCAGATTCAAGACTAATAAACTACTCTCTGAAACCTCATCTGAGTTCTCCTGTCACAGTAAACGTACAACTATATAGTTAGAACTAAGAGCTTTCTACTAGTGTTTAGGACATTCCATTATAATTTTTATTCCTGTGACTGTCTCTCCCAGAACAGACTGATCTTTGAGGTGAGAGACCCTATTCATTCAACTTTGGACCACCAGAACCTAAATAATAACATGTTCATATTAGGTTCAGCAGACATTTGTGGAAGGAAAGGAGGGAAGGAGAGAAGAAGCAAACAGGCTAGCTTGAGTCTGACACATCTTAGATCTCAAGAATGTGAAACTTAAAAAATTCATGTAAAATGTCAACATAATCCCATAGAGGTTATGTGAAATAACTGTAAAAGAGTTGTTTTAAAAAACAGTAATCTGCCAAGAGGATTTTTTTTTTCCCAAAGAGAAAGCATAGAGCAGTAGATTTTAAGATTCAGAAGGCTACTTTTAGTAATTTCAAAATGACCAAGGGTACTTCACTGAACCACTGTAGGCATCAGTTTCCTCACCTGTAAAAATAACAGGACTGTAAAGTCAGGAACAAAAGAAGTATTCCTATTATTCACATGAATGTTTATTACTCAATAACCATAATTCTTAAATTCTTACTTCAAGCACTGTACTAAGTTGTTTCATAAATCCTTAAAATCATGTAAAATAGATTTCACTTTTTCTATTTTATAGATGACAAAAATGAGGTTAATAGAGACTAAATAATATACCCAAAATCAGATTACTGGTAGGTGGAAAAACTGGGATAGACTCAGGTCTTCACAGCTCTAAGCCCAGACTCATAATCAATGCCAGCTCCATGATTTACATATGGCTTGTGCAGTAGCAGACAAGTTAGAGATGTGGAGAGATGATTGACTAAGAAACACACCATGAACTTTTTTTTGCATAGAATTCACACTGATTACTTAGAAAATGCTTTCTTAATGACTGCTAGAAAATGTATAATCAAATTGATGTCCATGTTAAAGAAAGCATAAGTCTTTGTTATGAATTTTCAAACTACCCTCATTCCATTAATTCCCTACCCTTATTTTTCATTTTGTCCCATCTGTATCTAATTTATGCTATATTGTTAAATTTAATGTATTCACGTAAACTATCTGAAATCTCTTTTTAAGCAAGAAAGCACACAGGTTAATGATAAAGAATTATATGGGCAAACATTCAACTGCAACAGTAATAAAAAAAATTAATAAAACAATTAGGTGTAAGTTTTTTACTTAAAGTTTTTTTAAACTTCTGTTTTTTAAATGATAATGCCCAATGTTAATGAGACAGAGATTAAATTACCACACATACACATTACTGATGGTACAATGTATAAATTGGTACAGTCCTTTAGAAAAGCAATTTGGCCTTATGCAAACAAAACTACAAAACTATTTAAGCTCAGAAATTTCCTGGGAGTTATCTGTAACTACTTCCTCAAAACATGGGAGCATTCAAATCTAAAATATGAGAAAAATTATACACAGAAATATATTTATTATATTATTATTTATAATAGTAGAACTATCAAAAGGAAACTAAATGTCCAACAGGAAAATGGTTAAGTAAAACAGGGCATACCCACTAAGGGAGATGTTTCACTATGTAATACTTCTACTCTGATTTTTGGTCCATATGGATTATTTAGTCAAAGTTCTAAATAAATATTTTAAAAGAAAATAATGATAGCATACTTACAACTTCATAAGGGATATGCATTAAAAAGTGAGAAGGAAATACTCCAAAATGTTTTTAGAAATGTTTCTCTGAACTATATATTGTTTTGCACATTCCAATTTTTGGTAACATGACAGTATGATATTTATAAACTTTTAGACTATTTAAGATTCTAGTTAAAAAATTATTAAGGAAAACTTCATGGGCTTGCATTAAGTGACCTTTAAGGTCCTAAACTCTGAAGTTTTATAATTCTGTGAATAATTCCAGGAGAGAAAAAATGGGGGGGAAGACATTGAAGAAATCAATGCAGCTGCATAGAAAAATATACTGAATTTCAATGAAAAATAATAAATGTCATGTTTAAAAAAATCCATAACCAAGGTAAAAATTTCCTTAATCTGAACAAGATAAATTTCAATAACCCTTCAAACACACTGAAATTAAGTGTTAATAATACTTCAGCAACGTAACTGCAAAATATTTTTTAAGCTGCTGGAAATAATGAGTTATTATCAGAAAAGGAACTCAACCTTTCTCAGTGTATTTAATTTTCATAACATTCTCATAAAGTATTATATTCTATTCTGAGAGTAACATGGATTACATGCTTACCTCCCTTCAGAGCTCTGCAAAAAGAATAATCATCATTAGCTCCTCGGCAAATAACTTCTTTGCGCACTGGAAAATCCACGGAGTTAGCAGATAAATAGATATTGAAATATAATTTTTTTATGTCTCTTCCTTAAAAAGAAAAGAATTCCATTAGCCCCACAAACACAAGATTCTTTTATAAACAAAATTAGCATTTATTGTATACTTAAAAAATGCCCTGTACTTTCCTACATTATTTCACTTAATCATCACAGCTACTTATAATATGGATATTGTTATCTTAGTTTTAGATGAGAAAACTGAGAAGAACAAATCATAGGGTCTGTTTCAAACAGCAGTCCCATGGCCCACTCCACAGACTTTAACCTGAACCTCTCCAAAAGCAGAAATGCAGGAATGTTTGCAAAAGTTGAAGAGCTGCTTTCACATGGAATTCCTTGAAACACGGGCACATGATAATAACTGCAGTGGTCTCAATGACAATGCAGTACAAGGGGCCTTCTTCCATTTCTGCATGAAACACAGAATGATTCCAGTCTTCAGTGACTCCAAAAAAGGAAATGCTGCTTTGACATCTCAGTGGTTTATATCTTGAGAACTTTCTTGCCCTTGGTCATTACTGTGGTCATATTAGGCACGTGAATAATGGTCAAAGTGAGGTACCATTTGTATGGTTCAGCAGGATGGGGTTATCAATGTGGGTGTTGGAGTGAGAGACAAGAAACATAGTGGCTGTCACAGGGCAACAAAGATTATTCTTTAGCTCACCTAAGACCATTCCAGGTACTTCCAGATTAATTTTGAAGGAGGCTTATGGCCCAGCTTTATTTATTTGCCAATAGGTTAATAGCATACAAATAATTTACTAGCACAGCTATAAAGTCTTAAAACAAATCATTTTTATTCCCAACCTATTTCTGGTACAAGTTTATACTTATAGCTCTTATTGAATTTAAATAGAGATAGAGCTATAATATTAAGATTGATTTCTATGAATGTAGCCCCACACTTTATACAGATATTCTAATACTCTAGAGAAACTCATATAATTGTGAAGCACTATAAAAAATATGACTGAGTAATTCTTTTGTTACTGAATTACTATATAGTTGACCCTTGAAAAACACAGGGTGTGAGCAGCACAGGTCTACTTACATGTAGATTTTTTTCAATAAATATATTGGAAAATTTTTTGGAGATTTGTGACAATTTGAAAAAAGATTTATTTTCTCTAGCTTACTTTATTGTAAGAATACAGTATATAATACATATACAGAATATGTGTTAGTTTGCTGTTTATGTTATCAGTAAGGCTTCTAGGTAATAGTAGGCTATCAATAGTTTTTGGGAAGTCAAAATTATATGTGGATTTTCAACTGTGTATGGTTGGTGACCCTAGCCCCAACATCAGTCAAGGGTCAACTGTTATGTTATATAAATGTCATATTTAGTGAATGGTTAAGGTATTTGTGGTGACAGTGGTACCCAAACCTCCCTTCCAAAGAACCAGCCTGGAGAGGATGATTGGCAGACAGCCTTCAGCTGTTGCAACTTCAGATCCATCCCAGCACTCATTCAGGAGCCAAAATCTCACAGACTACTCCTATTATGACTAAACTGCAAGAACACTGGAGCAAGCCTACTCCCTCCTGTCATTTAAACACTTATGACAGGCCATCTTTGCTCTCAAGCTCTCCATTAACCTAGCTGAAAGTATCTTGGGAGGCATTTACCAAATTGCCTTGGAATTCTCCTTCCTTCCTTCCCTCTCTCATTTTAAAGGGATTAAGCCTTCACCTCAATGTGAATTCTCTACTTCTCTATTCTGGGTTTCTTTTCCCTCTGTTGCTCACAGCATTTCCCCCAATAAATCTCTTGTATGTCTACTTCCTTCTTGGTATCTGTCTTTCAGAGAACCCTAAGTGATAACTGTATTGCATTATTCCTTGGGCTCCGAAGGATATAATCTGCTTTCTGTGTGTAAGGGCAAGGGGTTCACTTGAAAATGAGGTAATTCATTATGTAAATAATCACTCCTGCCAAACATCTAGGGCAAAAGCACACCACATAGACTGGAAAGAAAAATTTGAGAAAAGGGGAATAAATTGTAGAGTCTTAACCTGACAAAAATTTAGATTATTTCTTTTACTCTTGGCAATTCACAGTACCTACCACAATGCTTGAAATATACTATGCATTTACTCAGTATTTTTTAATGAATAAAAAGTGAATACAGAAAAAGTGTCAAAATATACATTGAACAATTAGATTCAGGAAAATGAAAACAGAAGTCTACTTATTGTCCATCATTTCTGGGTTCTCAGATACCTTTTATCTTAAAACTGGAGAACTAAAATCAAAGGTGGAAATGTTTCTTTAAGCTTATTTATGTGAAAGTACTTTGTAAAGTACAAGCTTCAAATATAATGTAAATGATGATAGAGATAATGAAAACAATAAAGACAATGATGACGATTAGAACGGAAGTTTCCTGGAATCCTAGGGCTTACAGGAAACAAAACTGACTGGTAGGAGAGAATGAGAGTTTTGTGTGTTTTCACAGACATTCAGATCCAGCCCAGTGCTACCACTGTTGCCCAATTTAGTTTTAATAAGTTGATGACAAGTAAAATCATAGAAAGGAAAAATGAGATACAACACAAACAAAAACGTTTTGCCTTCTTTCATGTAATCATCATCATATTTTTTTCTAGAAAGCTCATCTTTAGAAAAAAGAGTCCTGGCTTGCTTTTACACAGATCTTTGACTAGCGGAAACTCAACTTTACTTATCAGCTGGATAGATAATGGGTGACAAAGGATATGCTTATTAGATTGTTAGAAGTCTCAAGTTATTTCCATTTTTACTCCCATACCATTATGTAACCTCTTCCCCATGAGTGTGAGCTAGCCTAGTGACTTCCTTCTAACAAATAGAATAAGGAAGGTGATAGAGTGACACTTCCATGATTAGGCTGTATAAGATTGTTAGCTGACTGTCTTCCTTGCTTACTTTGTTAAAGCAGGAAGCCACATTGAAAAGGCTCATATGGCATGAAACAGAGAGCTGGCCAACAGCCACATAGGAAATGAATACTGTCAATAATCACATGAGCTTAGAAGTGGATCATTCCCTAGGTCCCTACTTGAGCTTTAAAATAGACCCCAGTCCTAGACAAACACCTTGATTACAACCTTGTGGAAATTCTGGAAGCAGACACAGCTAAGCCATACATAAAGAGTATCAGATGATATATGTGCACTGTTTTAAGCCACTAAGATTGTGGTATTTGTTTCATAGCAATAGAAAATATGTGACACATTTAGACCACAATCATTTATCATTCATGTTTCTTGAACCCATTCAATTGATCTACAAAAACAAAACTTTGGACTTACTTGGAATGTAGAAAAGATGCAAATATCCTTTACTTTTCTTCAGTGTTATACAGGGTTCAACATTTATTGAAATAGGGAATTCCATTTTATCTAAATGGAATAGAGATGTCAATAAATTATTATAAATCATTTCCAATAAGTATTCTGAATATCAGCCCCCAAAAGATTCCTTTATATTAAAATTGTATAATAAGAAAAACTGAGAGTGTTTAAAACATCTCCCTCCCCACCACCCACCTAGGAACTACCCAGACCATGCCCCTCTGCCACTAGCTGTGCCTCCAACCAGCCAGCCAAACTGCCAGACACACACAGTCACAGTCTACCCAGGGGTCATCACTATACAAGGCCACAACCTCAAACTGGGAAAGGTAGCCCTTTTGCCTAACTCATAGAAAAAAACACAGAAAGTCAAACAAAATAAGGAAACAAAGGAATATGCTTGAAACAAAGGAACATGGTAAATCTTCAGAAAGAAGATTCAAACAAGACAGAGTTAAGCAATCTACCTTATAAAACTCAAAATAAAAGTTATAAAGATCCTCAACACACTTGAGAGAATGGAGAAATTCAGGGAGACCTTCAATGAAGAGACAGAAAATATAAAAAGAACCAATCAGAGATGAATAATACAGTAAATGAAATGAAAAACATACTATAGGGAATCAAGAACAGATTAGAGGATGCAGAAGAACAGATCAGTGATTTGGAAGACAGAGTAATGGAAAATACTCAAGCTGAACATCAGAAAGAAAAAGAATAAAAAGAAATGAGGATAGGTTAAGGGACCTCTAGGACAACATTCTGTGTCTTAACATTTGCATTATATGAGTCCCAGAAGGAGACAAGAGAAAAGTGAGTGGAAAATTTCTTTGAAGAAATTATAGCTGAAACCTTCCCTAACCTGGGGAAGGAAACAGACATCCTGGTCCAGGAAGCACAGAGAGCCCCAAACAAGATGAACCCAAGGAGGTCCACACCAAGATCATAGTAATTAAAATATCAAAAATCAAAGATAAGAAGACAATCTTAAAAGCAGCAAGAGAAAAATCAAATTGTTACATAAAGGGAGACTCCATAAGGCTATAAACTGATTTTTCAGCAGAAATTTTGCAAGCCAGAAAAGAGTGGATAGATTCAAACTGCTGAAGGGAAAAAACAAAAACAAAAAAAAACCTACAACCAAGAATACGCTACTCAACAAGATTATCACTCACGATTAAAGGAGAGATAAAGAGCTTCTCAGATACACGTAAGTTAAAGAGCTCACTACCACTAAACCAGCTTTGCAAGAAATATTAATGGGACTTCTTTAAGAGGAAAATAAAAGGCCACAACTAGAGGTAAGAAATTATGAAAAGGAAAATTCCACTAGTAAAAGCAAACATAGTGAAGTAGTGAAGATAGTAGATTAATCACTTAACAGCTAGTTTGAAGTTCAAAAGACAAAAGTATAAAATCAATTACTTCTGAGAATTAGTTGTTAATCATTAAATAAAAAGGTATAAAAGAAGACACCATATACATAAAACATAGAAGGGGGGAGTAAAAACTTAGTGCTTTTAGATGTTTGAACTTAGGTGACCATCAACTTAACAAAACCCAAAAATTTATAATAGATACACAAAAAATAAAGATAGAGGAATCCAACAATAACACTAAAGACAGCCATCACATACAAGGGAAGAGAGCAAGAGAAGAAAACAGGACCAGAAAATAATGACAAAAAAAACACAGAAAACATTTAACAAAATGGCAATAAGTGCATACTTATGAAAAATTACATTAAATGAAAATGGACTAAATTATCCAATAAAAAGACATAGAGTAACTAAATGAATTAAAAAAACAACAACACCTATCTATATGCTGTCTACAAGAGACTCAGTTCAGACCCAAAGACACAAACAGACTGAAACTGAAGGATGGGAAAACATACCATGCAAATAGAAGTGAAAAACAAGCTGGAATAGCAGTACTTATATCACACAAAATAGACATTTGAACAAAAACTGTAACAAGAGACAAAAAAGGACCTTACATAATGAGTTAGGACTCAATGCAGCAAGAAGATTTAACAATCATAAATATCTACACACCAAGTAAAGGAGTACCTAACTATATAAAGCAAATATTGATGGGCATAAAGAAAAAAATTGACAGTATTGAAATACTTACTATGGGACATTAACTCCTCACTTACATCAATGGATAGATCATCAAGAAAGAAAATCAGCAAGGAAACAGTGGCTCTGAAGGAGACACATTAGACCAAATGGGTTTAACAGATATATATAGAACATTACATACAAAAAGAGCAAGATACACAACCTTTTCAAGTACACATAGAATGTTCTCCACATGTTAGGCCACAAAAAAAGCCTTATTAAATTTAAGAAGATTAAAATCATACCAAGCATGTTTTCCTACCACAACAGAATGAAACCGGAAATCAATTAGAAGATAAAAACTGGAAAAGCACAAACACATGGAAGCTAAACAGCATGCTACTAAACAACCAATGGATCAACCAAGCAATCAAAGGGGAAGTAAAAAAAACACTTGGAGAATAATGAAAATAGAAACACAACAGTTCAAATATTTGAGACATAGCAAAAGCAGTTTATAAAAAGGAAGTCTATAGTGATAAAGGCCTCAAGAAATGAGAAAAGTCTCAAGTGAACAATCTAATACTATACCTAGACAAACTAAAATAGAAGAGCAAACAAAGCCTAAGGTTATTAAAATGAAGGAAATAAATAAGATCAGAGTGGAAATAAATGAAATACAAACCAAAAAAAAATAAAAAAAAAAAAAAACAAAAAGGAAAGGGAAAAAAAAAACAAATAGAACTAATTTTATAATATAAAAAAAAAAAAAAATAAAAAAACTAAAAATAAATAAAAAACTTAATGAAACTAAGAACTGACTCTTTGAAAAGACTTTTAAAAATTGATAAACCTTTAGGAGACAGAGAAATAAGTGAAGGGGATAAAGAGGCATGAAAATCCAGTTATAAAATAAATTAGTCACAGGATAAAACTGCAGCATAAGAAATAGAGTCAATAATATTGTAATATCTTGTATGTTGACAAATGGCAACCACACTAATCATGTATATACATGTATATACACAGTAATGTATATAATTGTCAAATCACTATGATGTATACCTGAAACCAACATAATATTGTGTATCAACTATATTTCAATTTAAAAAAATATCCCTCCCCAGATGAAGACACCAGCAAGAATTCAGAGTAGGAAGTCCAAGACCTTCCTTCCCCCAACAAACATACCAACTCACCAACAATTTACAGGCAAATTACTTTGTGAAAAATCAGAAACAAATTGAAATTTCCTGTAACCCAGGAAAATGCAAAGCCAGACTCACTTAAGTTGGTAGGGAGATTCAGGACACCTTCTGAAGACCAGAGACCCTGCACCTGGCACAGCACAATCAGAAAAAGACCCCCTAGACCCCATCTTTGATTCATGTATCCTGAGCCTCAAATTTTCCAATGGAGACTCCCAAAAGACTGAAGAAATAGAAAGGCTAAACAGACCTATAACTAATATGGAGATTGAATAAGTAATCAAAAATCTCAACAAAGAAAAATTCAGGACCAAATGGCTTCATGGGTGAATTTTACCAAACATTTCAATAAGAATTAACACACTAATGCTTCTCAAACTCTCCTGAAAACTGAAGGGGAAGGAGTATTCCCAAACTTCTTTTATGAGCTTAGCATTACCCTGATACCAAAGCTAGACAAAGACACCACAGGAAAAGAAAACTACAGGGCAATATCCATGGTAAATATAGATGTAAAAATCCTCAACAAAATACCAGCAAACTGAATTCAATAACACATTAAAAAGGATCATAAACCATGACCAGTGGGATTTATCCCTTGGATGCAAGCAAGCTTCAACACATAAAAATCAGTTAACATAATATACCACATTAATAGACGGAAAGATAAAAATCATATGATCAACTCAATAGATACAGAAAAATCGTTTGACAAAATTCAACACCCCTCCATGATTAAAAACTCTCAATAAACTAGAATTAGAGGAAATGGCCTCCACATAATAAAGGTTGTATATGAAAAGTTTTAGCTTACATTATACTAAATGGTGAAAAAGTGAAAGATTTTCCTCTAAGATCAGCAACAGGCAAGGAACATTTACTCTCAACACAGTACTGGAAGTAGTGAAGTGAAGACAGATTAATCAGACCAGAAAAATAAATAAAAGGCATCCAAGTCAGAAAGGAAGAAGTAAAATTTTCCATTTGCAGATGACATGATATTATATATATGGAAACTAAACACTCCCCCAAAAAAACTGTTCAGTCTAATCAAGACATCCAGGAAAATTGCAGGATACAAAATCAACATGCAAGAATCGGTCATATTTCTATATACTAACAATGAACTATCTGAAAGGAAATTAGGAAAACAATCTGATTTACAATGGCATCAGAAAAAAACAATCTAGGATTAAACTTAATTAAGGAGGTGAAAGACTTATATACTGAAAACTACAAAACATTGATGAATGAAATTAAACAAGATACAAACAAATGTAAAGACATCCTGTGATCACTGATTGGAAGACTTTACTTAAATGTTCATATTACCCAAAGCAATCTACAGTTTTGATATAGTCCCTATCAAAATCTCAATGGCATTTTTTTAGAAATAAAAAAGTCTCTAAAATTTATATGGCACACAAAAGACCACAAATAACCAAATTAATCTCGAGAAAGAGGAACAAATCTGGAGGCATCATACTTCCTGATTTCAAACTATAATACAAAGCTACAGAAATAAAATAAAGTGTGAAACTGGCATAAAAACAGACATATAAACCAACGGAACTGAACAGAGAGCCCAAAAATAAATCCATGCATAAATTGTCAGTTGATCTTTGACAGGACGCCAGAAATGCACCATTGGGAAAGGATATTATCCTCAACAAATGGTGCTGGGGAAACTGAATATTCACATGCAAGAGACTGAAACTTGGCTCCTATAACACAAAAATTATTCCAAAATGGATTAAAGACTTAAACATAAGAT